TTTCATATATTTCGTAATAAAAATGCATTTCAACATGCACATATATATATATATATATATATATATATATATATACACACACATATACACACACACACACATGTTATAATATATATATATATTTATATATATTTTTTATTGAAATATATTGAATAAAAAATTGTTCAGATGTAATATATGGGAAGAGTATTTTTAAAATATTTTCAAATATATATTTTTCTTCTGATTTTTTTTGGGCTGTCACATGTACAGAAACTGCACGGAAACACTTACGATCGCGTCTAAAGATGGTGTGAATGCAGCCTAAAGACACGCGCATGCATCTGCAGCTCCATTTTTGCGTCTGCTCCATCACCTGCATGAATGGGAATGACGCGTGGAAAGATGAGAAACCACGCTCCGCTGCACCTGACCTAGAACCTGACCTCATTCTATAAAACGATTGTCTTTTTTTTCAGCTTCTTTACATTTTCCTCAATAATATGGCGGGATGCTGAATGAGCCAATCGCCATTTATCGTTTTTTTTTTTCCCGACCTGTGGAACTAAGCCTGACAGTTTCTGGCTATAAACGTCAATATTCAGACCGGGTTAAATGCGTATCGCGGACTACGAAACGCCGACACGTTTCACATTCCACAGACCGCGCGCTCTTTGTTCGGACTGGAAGGCGGGATGGCACTTACCCAAACTGACAGCTTAATGGACTTGCGGCCTATCAAGTTACCGGCATCTATTACACACTCTACTTCAAGTAAGCTTTCGCAGCCTAATCCGCGGCGCACTGTCGCTTTAGATCCCGCCGTACGCCGTGTAATGTACTATTGAGGGTACTTAGCGAGGAGTTCTCTGTTTCTGGTTCCTCTGCTGTCTTCTCTGCTTCCCGGGGGGATCGGCAGAAAGTTACTTTGTATATAACGCCGGGTGATGGAGTTGTAACATTTGATACATTGTGGAATTCAAAGTATCCGGATGGAATGTTCCTGCATTAGGCTGATACACACCGACTGTTGGGGCTCATTCACACCAGGAGGTGCGTCCCGAGCACGCACGCTTTTTTTGGCGTACTTCCGCATGGTCCCGCGCATTTCTTTTAAGACCCCATGAACAGCTCTACAAAATGCCTTTCCTCCTGGCAGCAGCGTTTTGTCAGAAAACAAAACACTTTACGCACATAAACACGTCTAGACACATTTAGGCGCTTCAAGCGTATGAGCTTTAATTCATTTAATTGGTTGGAATAGTTATGTCCCCTCCCACATGGAAGAAAAATATATTTTAAAAATACAATCTTAATATATTCTTCCCAAATATATTGACATATATTTCAAATACCACAATTTTGGCCATATTCAATATATTTCAATATATTTGTGAATATATTATTAAAAATATATTCAGAACACACGCTGAAATATACTGTATGTCAAAGTGTCATTTGGAATGCATTTATATATACAGTGGGGAAAAAAGTATTTAGTCCGCCACCAATTGTACAAGTTCTCCCACTTACAAAGATGAGAGAGGCCTGTAATTGGCATCATAGGGAGACCTCAACTACGAGAGACAAAATGAGAAAACAAATCCAGACAATCACATTGGCTGATCTGGAAAGAATTTATTTGCAAATTATGGTGGAAAATAAGTATTTGGTCCCCTACAAACAAGCAAGATTTCTGGCTCTCACAGACCTGTACCTTCTTCTTTAAGAGGCTCCTCTGTCCTGCACTCATTACCTGTATCAATGGCACCTGTTTGAACTTGTTATCAGTATAAATGACACCTGTCCACAACCTCAAACAGTCACACTCCAAACTCCACTATGGTGAAGACCAAAGAGCTGTCGAAGGACACCAGAAACAAAATTGTAGACCTGCACCAGGCTGGGAAGACTGAATCTGCAATAGGCAAGCAGCTTGGTGTGAACAAATCAACTGTGGGAGCAATAATTAGAAAATGGAAGACCTACAAGACCACTGATAATCTCCCTCCATCTGGGGCTCCACGCAAGATCTCACCCCGTGGGGTCAAAATGATCACAAGAATGGTGAGCAAAAATCCCAGGACCACACGCGGGGACCTAGTGAATGACCTGCAGAGAGCTGGGACCAACGTAACAAAGGCTACCATCAGTAACACACTACGCCGCCAGGGACTCAGATCCTGCAGTGCCAGACGTGTCCCCCTGCTTAAGCCAGTACATGTCCGGGACCGTCTGAAGTTTGCTAGAGAGCATTTGGATGATCCAGAAGAGGATTGGGAGAATGTCATATGGTCAGATGAAACCAAAATAGAACTGTTTGGTAGAAACACAACTCGTCGTGTTTGGAGGAGAGAGAATGCTGAGTTGCATCCAAAGAACACCATACCTACTGTGAAGCATGGGGGTGGCAACATCATGCTTTGGGGCTGTTTCTCCGCAAAGGGACCAGGACGACTGATCCATGTACAGGACAGAATGAATGGGGCCATGTATAGTGAGATTTTGAGTGCAAACCTCCTTCCATCAGCAAGGGCATTGAAGATGAAACGTGGCTGGGTCTTCCAACATGACAATGATCCCAAAACATACTGCCCGGGCAATGAAGGAGTGGCTTCGTAAGAAGCATTTCAAGGTCCTGGAGTGGTCTAGCCAGTCTCCAGATCTCAACCCCATAGAAAACCTTTGGAGGGAGTTGAAAGTCCGTGTTGCCCAGCGACAGCCCCAAAACATCACTGCTCTAGAGGAGATCTGCATGGAGGATGGGCCAACATACCAGCAACAGTGTGTGCCAACCTTGTGAAGACTTCCAGGAAACGTCTGACCTCTGTCATTGCCAACAAAGGATATATAACAAAGTATTGAGATGAACTTTTCATATTCACCAAATACTTATTTTCCACCATAATTTGCAAATAAATTCTTTCCAGATCAGCCAATGTGATTGTCTGGATTTGTTTCCTCATTTTGTCTCTCATAGTTGAGGTCTCCCTATGATGCCAATTACAGGCCTCTCTCATCTTTGTAAGTGGGAGAACTTGTACAATTGGTGGGGACTAAATACTTTTTTGCCCCACTGTATATCTAAAAATCTATGTTTAAATGCATTGTTTTAGATGTTCAAAAATATCTGGAAAATCTATTTTGAAAAATCTATTTTTAAATAAATATAAGCCTTTGGAAAATATATTTTAATTAAAGTTTTTGGAATACATGTTAAAATATATTCACGTAAGCCGATATATTGTAAATATATGTCGCATGTATCATTTTTTTTTCTAAATATATTGAAAATATATTTCTCTTCCATATGGGCTACATCCACATCTGTCCTGTGAACTGTACGGATTTAAAGGCTCACTCCGATGAAACATGAGAAATTTACATTTTAAACTCCCCCTGAGGACACGGGCTGCCTGCTGACTTGGAATTTCCCTTCGCTCATTTATCATGTACAGCTGGCTTTGTCTACCGCTATATCCTGAATGACGCTAAAGATCAACGGAGAGAATGAAACCTGGATGTTCGCTGATTCCAAGCTCCACCCTTTGCATTTCATCAAGAAGGTACAAGACGACAAATGCCACCCAGAGGCAGTGTGTGAGGACTGCTGAATCTGACTGCAACGGATTGCCCTCCCCTTCGAGAACACTGCAAGCCATGATTAAAGTGGCTGTAAACCCTCCCGTCTACATAGTGAAGTGACTGGCCTCAGGTGATACACAGATTAAACAAACCCTCCTACATAAGTTGTACCGGTTTATCTGGAGCCCTCTCTACTCTACAGCCATTCAAAGTGCAGAATTTATACAGGATCTCTCAGCTGTGAAAATCAGGGGGCGGGGAGCTGACATTACACTCTGCAGAGCTCAGTGGAGCTGATTGGAGGGAAGGGACACGTCCCCCTTCACACGGCACACAGGAACAGAGCTGAGGCTGTCAATCACTGGCTGTGTGCTGGAGCTTCCTCCCCTGTCACCATTTTTCTCTTGGTGTCAGGAAAACCTGTCCAAATTGATTCATGCTGATAGAGGAAGGAGGCAGCAGACAGAAATGACACTTAGTGCTCTGGACTGAGACGAGTTCATACTATAGAGTGATAGGCTTTGTTCATGTTTCATGTCTGAGGTTTACAATCGCTTCAGACCGGGTTCACCCTGATGTGGTCCGCATGGCAATCGCATGGCGTTCATGCGATCTTGTGCGGGTGTCGGTGTTAATTTAATGACACCCTGAAACAGATCACAAATCGCGATACGATTGCCAGAAATTGCCTCACGTGGGTGAGAACACTCATGCAATGCAATTCAGGTGCAGATAAAAAAAAAAAAGGGTCCTGCCCCTTTTTTGCTGCGAATGCGAGGCGATTTAAGCCACACAAAATGTATGGCTCAAACTGCACCGCACAGACATTGCATGTAATCCGCACAGGGATGCGGTGTGATTCCCGTGTGAATGATATGCAGTGTCGCTCGCTGCATTAGTGTGGACCCGGTGTAAGGGCCCATTCACACCAGATGCATTGGGATGCACTTTTGACTGCATTCCAACTCACACAGTCCAAAATCCAGCTTATCTTATGGTCATAGTTCACACAGTGCAGTGAAAAAAAGTACTGCAAGCTGCATTTTCTGCACCGCAAATGTGCACAAAAATGCATGCAAAGGCATCGCAACGCATCACAGTGCACAAATGCCCAGAGAAAGAAAGAAGGACAGAAGCCAATGGAAATATACACAACCACTGCACGGAAAAATGCATCGAAAAACCCACAGTAAATACGCAGTTTCTGGTGGGAATGGGCCCTTAGCCTGGGTTCACATACATGCGGATATAGTGAATGCGGGGTCCGGGGGAGAGCGGATATAGTGAATGCGGGGTCCGGGGAGAGCGGATATAGTGAAGGCGGGGTCCGGGGAGAGCGGATATGGTGAATGCGGGGTCCGGGGAGAGTGGATATAGTGAAGGCGGGGTCCGGGGAGAGCGGATATAGTGAATGCGGGGTCCGGGGAGAGCGGATATAGTGAATGCAAGGTCCAGGGAGAGCGGATATAGTGAATGCGGGGTCCGGGGAGAGCGGATATAGTGAATGCGGGGTCCGGGGAGAGCGGATATAGTGAATGCGGGGTCCGGGGAGAGCGGATATAGGGAATGCGGGGTCCGGGGAGAGCGGATATAGTGAATGCAGGGTCCGGGGAGAGCGGATATAGTGAATGCAGGGTCCGGGGAGAGCGGATAAAGCGAATGCAGGGTCCGGGGAGAGCGGATAAAGCGAAGCGGATATAGCGAATGCGGGGTCCGGGGAGACCAGATATAGTGAATGCGGGGTCCAGGGAGAGCGGATATAGTGAATGCGGGGTCCGGGGAGAGCAGGTATAGTGAATGCGTGGTTCGGGGAGAGCGGATATAGTGAATGCGGGGTCCAGGGAGAGCGGATATAGTGAATGCGGGGTCCAGGGAGAGCGGATATAGTGAATACCGGATCCTGGGTTTAGTGAGGAGTCATGTGATTCGCACAGGAACTGCACCGCATTCCTGTGCAAATCACATGCGATTTGTGTGCGGTGCGATCGGAGTCGTACATTTTGTATGGCTCTATTCGCACCACACCCGCACCAAAAAGGTGCAGGACCCTTTTTTTGGTCCGCACTAGAATCGGATCACATGGGTATTCACACCTTTCTTCACATCACACCGCGTTTTGTGGACCGCTTTCGGGATGTTTTTAACTTAGCATACACCCCCACAGCAGTTGGCATGAACTGGGTGCGATTCTGATGCGATGCAGAATTCGCACTGAAAACGCGGAGAATTCCGCACCGCATGAGTGTGAACTCGGGCTTAGTCCAGTGAATGTTTTTTATTCACAACAAAGGTTCATGAGGTAAACGGGTTTGCAACATTTTGCAATTTTTTTTGATACGTTGTTATACACAGTCTATCAATGTCCCATATTTCATCATTTATGGGTTCCGATCTCATTTATTTACAGTTTGTTGTCTCCTAGCCCTGGTGAAGGGGGCTTTGTGAGCCCCTGAAACGCGTTGCCTTTACTGTATAACCTATCAAGTTTACCAGACTTGACTTGTAGCACCTTCATCCTCTTACATAGACTTTCAGATTGCTCTGGGGATCTCCCAGATGCAGCCTCCAAGGGTTGGAACTGGTACCAATCTCATATACATCGGGATCTAGCGCCCTACCAATTAAAATAAATAACGAAAAATAATAAATGAAATAAGAGAAGGTTGTTGGGGTTTCCATCCCCTGTTACTGATGGCTCTGTGGAGGGATGACGGCAGGATGTAGTAGGTCTATGGACAGTGTAGCCCGGCATTCTCCATCATGTCCGTAATTGTGTTCTGTACAGGGAATGCGTGACATTGGAAGGACATACACCGTATTCATGACATCTGAAGGCCATACACCGTATTCATGACATCTGAAGGACATACACCGTATTCATGACAACTGGTACAGTCATTTGGAACAATGCAGAGGAACCCTTGAAATAACTTTCCGATCTCAAGGATCTCCAGCTAAAAAATGACTATATCTATAACTCCTGATACATTAGTAAGATGGTCATTGGGAGGAATGCTCCTTCCACTTGTGGCCACCGGGAAGGACGCTCCTTCCACTTGTGGTCACCGGGAAGGACGCTCCTTCCACTTGCGGTCACCGGGAAGGACGCTCCTTCCACTTGCGGTCACCGGGAAGGACGCTCCTTCCACTTGCGGGTCATCGGGAAGCTCCTTCCACTTGCGGTCATCGGGAAGCTCCTTCCACTTGCGGTCATCAGGAAGAATGCTCCTTCCACTTGCAGTCACCAGGAAGAATGTTCCTTCCACTTGTGGTCATCGGGAAGAATGTTCCTTCCACTTGTGGTCATCGGGAAGAATGCTCCTTCTACTTGCGGTCATCGGGAAGAATGCTCCTTCCACTTGCGGTCATCGGGAAGAATGCTCCTTCCACTTGCAGTCATCGGGAAGAATGCTCCTTCTACTTGCGGTCATCGGGAAGAATGCTCCTTCCACTTGTGGTCATCGGGAAGAATGCTCCTTCTACTTGTGGTCATCGGGAAGAATGCTCTTTCTACTTGCGGTCATCGGAAGAATGCTCCATCCACTTGCAGTCATCGGGAAGAATGCTCCTTCCACTTGCGGTCATTGGGAAGAATGCTCCTTCTACTTGTGGTCATCGGGAAGAATGCTCCTTCTACTTGTGGTCATCGGGAAGAATGCTCCTTCTACTTGTGGTCATCGGGAAGAATTACAACCTTACAGATAGCTAAAAAGATCAATGGTGTCAGTGGGAACTTATCTGAGAGGCAAAACTTGCTCATTGCTCAAGGAACCCCTAGCAACCTCTGGAGGAACCTTAGGGTTCCACGGAACCCTGGTTTAGAACCCCAAGAACATCCATTATCCATAAATACCTTTCACATATGGATTCCTCTCCTATAGGAACCTGGAGAGACATGAAAACCTTTTATCCCAGTTTAAAAAAACGGGACCATTATCAATATGGTGGCACATATTGTCCATGTAATGGTGGCCATACACACTTTTATGATTTGATCAATGCGATCTGATTTTGTTATCCAGTCGATATCATCTGATTTTATTATTCGATCAATAATATCTGATTCTATTATCCGATCGATATCTTCTGATTTTATTTTCTGATCAATATTGTAGCAAGCTTTGAGAGGATGGTGCTGGGCACAAACCTTCATCCTTGTCCCGGAGATCTTCAGACCAGTCAGGAGGGCTGGTAGTGTCTGTAGGCTGTGGAGGTGGGAGCAGTTCTACGAGGAAGAGGAGACACTTCTACATGTAGTTCGCAACTAGATTCGGAGGGGCTGCGAGTCCCTGGACCGCAAAGGGCTGTTGCTACTGATCTGTAAATACTGACCGCCTTCAAGGAGAAGAACAGTCCAGGATCTGTTTCTATAAATAGGAAGGAAGTTGTCCCCGTGCATCGATTCAACTGAAGTTGGGCATCCCATAATCCCGATGACCCCATCCAAGTTACATCCCCTAGTAAGTAACCGAAAACCAAGCTCATGGACAGTTCACCGACTGCGGATGCAAGTGTGAAAAATGCGTGTTGCCAGGCTGTGCAATGCTTAGGGGGAACCAAAAACTCAGAGGGTGGGTGGCGGTACGTACTCCTCAGTAGACTTCACAGCCTGAACTCACCATGGCTCCTCGCCGAAAAGACGGGTTAGTTCCCCTTTAAACTCTAAAGAAGGTTCTGCTGTGTTCCAGCAGTAGAATGCAAACTGTAGGTGTATGCAAATCCACACCTGTGCCCAACACCCGCTCTGCAAACAAAGCCGGCCTGGGGGGGGGTGACTCCAAGAACGCCTCTCCGGCTGATCTGCTGCTACACAGCTGGTTTGAACCTTGTAGTCCCACAAGGCTTTCTAATGTTTTAGATGCACCTGAGATTTTCACGTGACTAACCCCCTGTGGTCAACTCCTCTGCAACAAATCTCATCCATTCTCCTGCAATCCAAAGTTCCTCATGCATCGAAATTAGGGCATGAGGAAAGTTCTTTCCAAGCGTTTCTTCATTTCAGCATCTGGAGACAACATGGCGGCACACTACCGCATACTGGCATGGATTGGGGCCAGGAAATGAAAATTACAGTAAGTATTTGATACAATTTTAGGTTTTTCTGGCCATGGCAGCATACTACCACATCGATTGGTGCCAGGAAAGGGAAGTTGCGGAATCTGATACAATTTTCCATTTTCTTGATGCCAATGCGGCAACATACTACCACATGCTGCCGTGGACTGGCACCAGGAAAGGAACATTAAGGTAAGTATTTGGAGCAAGTTTCCATTTTCCTGGTGCCAACAGGTCAACATACTATCACTTGCTGGCAAGGAGTGGTGCCATTAAAGAAATATTATGGTAAGTATTTGGTGCAAATTTCCAGTTTCCTGGTGCCAACAGGTCAACAAACTACCACTTGCTGGCAAGGATTGGTGCCATTAAAGATACACAGTATTATCGTAAGTATTTGGTGCAATTTTTTCATTCTCCTGGTGCCAACAGGTCAACAAACTACCACTTGCTGGCATGGATTAGTGCCATTATGGTAAGTATTTGGTGCAATTTTCCATTTTCCTGGTGCCAACATGTCAACATGCTACTACATGACACCAACATGGCAGAATACACGTGATAGTATGCTGCCATGGGTTGATGCTAGAAAGGGAAAACTACGGTATTTGATGCAATTTTCCATTTTCCCGATGCCAAAGTTGCAGCATACTACCACATTGTGCCATGGATTGGCGCCTGGAAAGGAATATTATGGTAAGTATTTGGTGCATTTTTCCATTTTCCTGGTGGCAACGTGTTAACATACAACCACATGCTACCATGGATTGGGGCCAGGAAAGGAAAATTACAGTAAGTATTTGATACAATTTTCCATTTTCCTGGTGCCAACATGTTAACATACCACCATGTGCTTTACAGTAAGTAGTTGGAGACTTTTTCCATTTTCCTGGTGCCAACACATCAACATACTACCACTTGCTTCCATGATTGGCGTCAGAAAAGGAAAATTGCTGTAAGTTATTGATATAATTTTCCAATTTATTGGTGCCAACATGGCAGCATACATGCCATGGATTATCGTCAAGAAAAGAATATTACGGTAAATATTTGATACAATTTTCCTGATGCTAACATGTTAACATACTACCACTTGCTTCCATAGATTGGCACCTTGAAAGGAAAATTATGGTAAAGTATTTGATACAATTCTCCATTTTCCTGGCACTGACACAGCAGCATTCATGCAGTCACCTGCTGCCATGGATTGGCACCAGGAAAGGAAAATTACTGTAAGTTATTGATTCAATTTTCCAATTTCCTGGTGCCGACATAGCAGTATACATGGATTGGCATGAAGAAAGGAATACTACGGTAAGTATTTGTTACAATTTTCCATTTTCCTGGTGACAACGTTAACATACTACCACTTGCTTCCATGGATTGGTGACAGGAAAGGAAAATTATGGTAAGTATTTGATACAATTTTCCCCACTTTCCTGGCACTGACATAGCAGCATTCATGCAGTAGCCTACTGACATGGATTAGCATCAAGAATGGAAAATTACTGTAAGTTATTGATACAATTTTCCATTTTCTTGGTGCCAACACGTCAATATACGACCACTTGCTTTCATGGTTTGGCACCAGGAAAGGAAAATTATGGTAAGTATTTTATACAATTTTCCATTTTCCTGGCACTGACACGGCAGCATACACGCAGTAGCCTGCTGCCATGGATTGGCATCAAGAAAGGAATATTACAGTAAGTATTTGATACAATTTTCCATTTTCCTGGTGCCAACAAGTCAACATACTACCACTTCCTTCCATGGATTGGCGCCAGGAAAGGAAAATTACAGTAAGTATTTGATACAATTTTCCCACTTACCTAGCACTGACATAGCAGCATTCATGCAGTAGCCTGCTGCGATGGATTGGCACCAGGAAAGGAAAATTTTGGTAAGTATTTGATTCCATTTCCCTGGTGATGTTAACATACTACTACTTGCTTCCATGGATTGGCACCAGGAAA